CCTGCTGAGGCCCAATGAACGTCACGACGGGCTGGGTCCCGGAGCTCGCGCTCAGGGGGCGCGCCTCGCCCTCGGCCTCGTCCTCGGGCCCTGGCTTCAAGACCTCCTCAGCGAGAGCAGGCTCCTGGTAGTATGCGCTCCAGCCGAAGCTGTCCGCCAATCTTGCCGTCAGCGGCAGCCACGTCCAGCGAGGGCAAATGGCCCCTTCTCTATCGCGCGGCATGTCGTAATCAGCGGGGAGAGGCTCGTGGCGCTTGGTGGCCGGGCCAGCGCAATAAATGCTCCGCTCTTTCGTGGCCGCCACGTGGTTGCCGACGTGCCCTCTCTCCACGGCCATCAGCATCTTCCAGTGCCAAGTGCCGATGATGGCGACATTGACAGCAGGAGATCCAACGCTGCCGTACGAACCGCTGGTTCTCGTGTCACGCTGTAGCTTGCCCGTGCCGATGAGGGTGTTGATCGTTGAGGCGTGCTGGGACGGCGCGGTGTCCCTGGCAGCCCCGCCGCGGACTTCGCTGGTGGTGAGGCCGATCTGGCCAAGAAAACTGTAGGCTTCGTCTAGGTTCACCATCGTGCTGTACCAGGCGCGTGGCGCCCACGCTGAAAGCACGTCATGTTCCTTGACCTCCTGCGGGGGCTGGCGCATTAACCCCCGCGACCAAAGCAAAGTTTTGCGCGCGTCAGAACCTCGCTCTGGCCGTGGAAGCTAATCCATGAAAAGCAATGCTGAATTTCCACTTCGGGCGCGCGGCCCAAGTACCCAAAGGGAAAGTCAGGGTAATAGACGATTCCCAAAACAGTGCTTGCACTTAGGGGCTCTTGCTTGGCTTGACCATCTCGGGGCCGTCCCCGGCTTTTGCGGGCGGTGCCGCCCGTCGCCGTCAGTCGCCGCCGCCCGTCTCGGGACCGCCCCCGGCTTTTGCGGGCGGCGGCGCCCGTCGCCGTCCGTCGCCGCCGCACTGCATGAGGTTGCACCTCGTAGATTGCACCGCATAGAGCGCACCACATAGATTGCACCGCATGTATTGCATTACATAGGTTGCATCGCATACATTTTCCTTTCTAGAACAAATATAGACTCTCCCCCCCCCCCCTCCCCCCCCGCCCCCCCCCCCCCGCGCAACGGCGCACCCCCCCCCCCCCCCCCCCCCCAAACACACAACGCACGCACGCAGACACCACACACACACACCCACACAACACACAACACACCCACTACCAACACACACACACGACACACCACAACCACACACACACACACCACACACACACACACCCACACACACAACACACACAACACAATACCACACCAACACGATCACACACACACCGCACGGCCTCACGGCACCACACACACACACACAAACACACAAACCACAAACACCACACATAACACACACACACACACACCACACACACACCCACCAACAAACACACACACACACACACACACACACACACGCACACACGCACGCACGCACGCACGCACGCACGCACGCACGCACACACACACACACACACGGACTTATCAACCCCCTTTTCCGGACATGCAATGTACACATGACTCTGGCCCCTCGCCCATCCTAACTGTAAACTCATACCATCCTGCGCGATCACGGCCTGCGTGCCAGCGCGCATGTTGCGATTTGCTCAGCAGCTTTGCTGGATAATTGCAGGCGTAGCCCAATGCGTTTTGCCGAACAAGTTGCGGGTGGGTGGGTGGGATGTTTGCACGAGCGCGGGAGATGGCGCCTTCAATTTCCCGAAGATGAACTGCACCACGTTGATTGCACCGCATATATTGCAAGAACCTACTGTTTGGGGCCCACGCTGGCGAACATTTTCTCTCGGGCGCGGGGAGGGGCGGAGGGCAGAAGGGGGGGTCGCTCAGGAGCCCCGCGGCCCTTCGCCCGCGCAGCGTTGCGGCCAAAGCGGACCTCGATCTGACCCCAGTCCCCCGAGCACCGGGCGAAGAGCTCAGTGGGAGTGAAGTCCTGCATTCCAATGGTTTTCACCGTGACCTGCCGCGGCTTCTTGCTCTCCCAAACCTCCGCGGCAACGCCTGCAGGCGGCTCTGCGGAATCGAGGCGCTCCTGCACGACCGCTGCAATCTCATCGTCGGCAGCAGCGATCATTGCCGAGACGGCAGCAGTGATGCGGCTCTTCCCCTGCTGCGCGTCGCCCCCGTACAGCGCCATCGCGGACAGCGGGGTGACGTCCGCGTTCCTGGGGCGGGCGCAAGCGCGGGGGGGGGCCCAGAGTGGCGATTGACACATAGGATAAAGGGAATGCGCGCAGCGTGGGCGCGGCGCTACGCGCGTCACAGAAATCCACACAGAGACGCCCGCCGGCGCGTTGCCCCCCATTCCTTGGAGGGCGGCGGCGCATGAAATCGCCGGCTCTCAGCGGTGATATACGCGCCGCCGCCTTCTACCGGGCTTGGGGGCAATCCACGAGGAGGAGCGTCAATGCATGTACTGCTGCGGCGCAATTTGGAGCCAAAAGTCCAGAGCTGGATGTTGGCGCCGTTGCTGAGGCCGGCCATCGCGGCCGCCGTCATGGCGAGCACGGGCAGCGCCCCCTGGCCAGTAGCCACCTCGAGCGGGCGCAACAACTTCTGCAGCTCCGCGGGGAGGTGCTCGCTCGCCGAGAAGTTGTTGTCAACGTAGTCGTTCGCGGCGTCTGCCAAGGCCTGGATCTCCGCGCCTGCAATCTCGGGCGCCCGGTTAGAGGGGGCCATGTCCCGCGGCAAACCTCAGAGAAGGCGTCGCCCTGCACGCGTGCGCAAGTGAAGGAGCAATTAACCGGGGAGTACAAACCAGGTGTTAGGTTATGTAGCTTGATAACAAAGTGGCACGTGCCGCGGTGAATGCATGGGAGTGAAGCTTTTGGAAGATTCCCGCATCTGTCTAATCACTGCCGCCGATCGATCGCGCCCCTAGCCACTTTCCCGACAAATGAACTGCACGTTCCAACCCCTGTCCAAAACAAACCACCGCCTTGTCTAATTAACATATGAGCGTTCGCGTTGTGTTTGTTCGTTTGTTGTTATGTTTCGTTGCATTGATGTATGTGTCTTCTTTATTGTTTCTTCTTCTTCTTTTTTTTGGGGGGGGCAGCCCCCCTCTGTGCGCCAGCAAGGCGTGAAATCGGAATGGGCCGAGCGGTAGGCCCAAATAAACCGGTTGTTGGGCCCCCACCGAAAAACAACTGCCCGGGAACAGTCGACGCCCCATCCTCCCAACGTCCAATCCTGCAACTGCGAGAGACCGTCGACATGGGGTCAGGCGGGAACGCAAACATTCGGTTGCCCGAGGATGTCAACTGTCGGATAAGCAATGAGTCAGTCGCGTGCAATCAGACGGTGGCTGGCGACACGCATGAACATGTCAAGGAAATTCAATGCACCTGACACCTGGTTTACGAACCCTGGTAATGAGGCCTCAAGAAAACTCAGAACCGAAGCGGCTGTGGTTGCCGATGGCAATCGGGGCAAGGCGGAGGGGCGGACGCAACGAATCTGACGGCGCGGGAGACGACGCCAAAGCCCCTGGACATCATCGACGACGTGCGGACGGGCGAGAACTGGCTGGACAACGATGAGTTCGGCGGCGTCAGCAAAGGCGATGGCGACGACCATGGCAACGACGACTGCGGCGACGGGCCTTCTTGTCGCAGACAGCGCTCAGCCAATGCAAGTCAGGGCGCGCAAGGAGGTGGTTTCGGGCAAATGGGGGCCGTTCCAATTGGGGCCGCGAATGCAAATGCAAGAGTTCGTTGTGCGAGCGAGCCACCCCGCACGACATCGCGGAACTAGTGCGAATTATTGCGACGACGGGCTCGATTATTGTGTCGACCAAAACCTTTGGCGCATGGTCAGGCAAAGCTATGGCATCTTGTCACGACAGCGATTGCAAACCATTGTTCCCTGAAAGCGAGACTAAGCAAGCAATTGTAACGCAGAAACAAATCATCGCATTCGAGCGCACGAACTATTGCATCCCGATTACTGCGCGGGGCATTGCATGATGAATACGCGCAGTACGAACAGTTGCATGCACCTGCGCGCGCATTTGCGGCCCCCTTTGCATTGAATCCGGCTGCCCGATTCTAATGGAGGGGCTGCGGGAACCTCGCCTGGCGCATGCAAGCGGCGCCTTGCCGCTGAACAAGCGCCGTTAATCTGGCCGGACCGGCGGGGGCGGCCGCCGGACGACGACGCCAGGTCGCCGACAGAGCGCATCCAGGCGCGCATTTAAATCGCCACCGTGGAAGCGCGGGAAGCCTTGATTCTGCAGCAGCGGCTGCGCGGCAAGCGCCTCCTCAAGCGCGGGCCACGTCAACGCCCAGGGGCGGAGATCGAAGACAGCGCCCATGTGCAGGACGTCGAACGAGAGAGCTGGGGCGAGGTACGCGGTCAGCTCGTCACGGAGGCGCCCCGGAATCGCGCGGAGCAAGCGCTGCGCGTCGTCGGCATTGCAGCCGCGCTGCGCTGGCCCAGCGCAGACCGCAACTCCGGCAGCGGTGTCCTTCCCGAAAATGACCCGGGCCCCAGGGCATGCGAAAGCCATTGTGTTCCCAGGGTGCCCTTTAAAATACCCCTGGCACTCGAAAAACTTCTCGCCGTCAGCGAGAGCAGCTGCCCAAACCGGCAAGAGCCTCCGGCGCGCGATAATCGCCTGCGCCGCATCCGGGGCGGCGCCCGCGGCCGCTGCCCTGCCCGCGCCCGCGGGCGCTCCTGCCGGGGCCGAGCCCGCGGCGGGAATCTCTGCGGGCACCGGGCGTGGGGGAAGCGCGCGGTCGAGCCGGGCTGCCTTCCGGGCCGCCCTGGCAGCCCCGCGCGCCGCTTCCTGGGCGCGCAACTCATTGTGAACGCCCACGCATTCGCCCACGATGAAGTCGCAGACCCACCGCCCCATGTGGTGTACGGTGTGCGCCAAGGGCGACAGCTGCGCGTTGACAGACTCGCATATCGGCGTGGGGAAATCACCCAGGGCGGCAGCGTTCGCGGGCACGTCTGGGAAGCATTCCGCCTTGCACGTGGCATCGACGTGCCCTTTGCTGCGGGGTCGGTCGACGACGTACCGAAACTGGCCCAGGCGAACGGCCAGGCTGCCGGGCGCTGCGCCCTCCGCCCTGCCCTTGGCGAATAAACGCACGCGGCACGCGTCGTCGTGCACGAGCGTCTTGAGCTCCGGGACGGCACTTGCCACGTCTGCCAAAAAGCAATAGCGCTGGGAAAGCGTCTCAGCAGTAATCACTTCTTCAAGAGCACCGACAATCCCGCTCTCTGAGACTGCGGCAAGGAAGCCGGCCGACCGTTCTGCCGCGCGGATGGCCGAGACAGACTCCTTGCGCGTCTTGCACGAGCACTTGTCTTTAGCGTATCCGGAAGCCCAGTCGCCTAAGACCAAGCGAAGCGGTTGTCGGCGCAACTCCCTGCGCTCTTGACGACGGCGTTTGCGCTCTTGAATGACCTGTTCTGCATTCTTAGCGAAATACGCTTGCACGGTCGAGTCGGGGACCGTGCACGCGGGCTGCCAATTAGCGAAGCCCGTCATTCGCACTTCAACGTCAAGGTAAGCCATGGCGGACAGGGGCGCCCGCACGCGGTGCGCTTCGATTTCTCCAGCGAGGGCAGGGCGGTCGGCGAGCTCCTGGTGACGCCGGCAAAGCACTCCTTTCTGCAAAGGCGACTCTGGGCAACCACGCACCAAGTGCAAGTCCAGGGCGTCGTGGTAAACGGCCTCGGCGCACGGCGCGCCGCACGATCGCCGGTACAGCTTGGCGTTGCCGTCGACGCAGACGATGTCCATCCTGTCTCCGCTGGCCCGCCACGCGCGGAGGCGGCGCTCCTTCATGAGAGGGCGGTGCCAGGATGCGCAACTCTGCAGGAAGCTCTCCAGAGGCAATTCCAACAAAGAGCTTGCCAGGGCAGCGCGAGCGCCCTCGCGCTCCAAAGATCTCTGCCACATCTGGTGCCGCACCCATGCGGATTCCAGCGATTGCTCCAGAGTCTCCGTGGCGACTTCTGGTTTCAACGCCCGCAAGATCTGGGCCTCTCCAAGGAAAAAAAATGAAAAAAGATAAAAACAACAAAAATAAAAAAAAAAAACACAACCAAAAAAAAAAAAAAGGGAAAAAAAAAAAAAAAGAAGAAAAAATGAAAAAAAAAAAAAAAAATGAAAAAGAAAAAGAAAAAACAAAAAAAAATAAAAAAAGTAAAAAAAAAAAAAAAAAAAAAACAAAGAAAAAAAAAAAAAAAAAAAAAAAAAAAAAAAAAAAAAAAAGAAAAAAATAAAATAAAAAAACAAAAAAAAAAAAAGAAAAAAAAAAAGAAAGAAAGAAAAGCAGAGAAAAATAACAACAAAAAGAAAAAAAAGAATCGCAGGAACGCCCCTGTGCGCGTACAAACGGCAGGCCCACCGCTGCGCCCACTGATCATGCACGCCGAAAGACTTGTTGAGCATGAAGATCTCTGACGCAGGACAACCGGTATCCACCCTCTTCGTGAAACCGCCCTGGCCATTCCCAGAAGGGGACTCAACGTACCCACGCCAGTACTTATACATGTGCCCCTTGTCGCAACTGCGTTTGCATTGTTTGGCGTAGTGACGCATTACAAGACACCGCGGCTCCGCCACAACTAAGCATTTCACCGGGATCCTTTGCGGCACAGGGACCAACGGGCCCGAACAAACAGGGCAGCATGACCAGGTCGTCGTGAGCTCTGGCAGGAGCGCCGCCCTGGCGCCTGCAGCACTGGAGCCCCCGCTGGATGCGGCTGCCGGGGCAGAACCAGGCACGGCGTCGCGTGAGCTTGCGGGCGCGCCCATGGCCCGCGGGCCGGACCCTGGGCGCGTAGCAGAGCAAGACCGCGGATGCGCCGCCGCAGCGCCACTGGCGCCGGAGCCCCTGCAGGATGCGGCTGCCGCGGCGGAACTACGCACGGCGTCGTCTGCGCCGGCAAGCGCCTCCATGGCCTGGGGCCCAGGCCCCGGGCGCGCAACTGCAACGCAAGCCTTCCACAACGGCCGCACCGGCGGCGGAGGAGCACTGGCGGACGGTTGGCGGTGCGCCCGCAGGTCCGCTGCTCGCCACCACGGTCGCACTGGCGCCGCGCCAGCGTCCACAGTGCAGCGGCCACCGTGTTCACGACCGCCTCCTGTCCCAGGCGGCGCGAGGAGTGGTTGCTGCGCCGCCGGGCGAAGCGGTGAAGAAGGGGAAGTCGACGACTGGCGTGGAGACCATAATGGCCGCACGGGCAGCATGCAGGACAGCGAAGTAGCGTCCGCCAGACGCGAGCGAAAGACGGCTCGAGCCAAAATGCTTACGCAGACTAGAGCGGGGAAGGAGAAGGAGGAGGAGCAGCACCAAGAGGAGGAGGACCTCTTTATTCCTCCAATGACATCTGGCGACCTGTGGAGTAGTCCCACCAGCCCTCTGGGCGTAGGTGGTCTAAGGAGTTTCCTCTTCCAACCCCCTTCTTCCCCATCGGGGAAGGGTGTACCCCTCCCCCTACCCCCTCCCCCTGCACCTGGACGAGGCGTTCCGCGACGCGTTGGGGCCCCCAAGATAGCCCAAGACGGCTCCAAAAGGGCCTCAGAGAGTCCAAGATGGCCTCCAAGATAGCTCAACAGAGCGCAAAAACGCTCAATATGGTTTCCAAGATGCTTCAAGAGGCCCCAAGACCGCCCCAAGACGGTCCTTAGTTGCCAAAAAGCTCCCCAATCTTTACAAAACCCACAGAAATCAATGTTTGTTGCTTTCTCGCCTTTTCGCTTCCGATGGCCTTCCGAGGCCTCAAGTCAGCTCGAAGAGGGCCCATGAGGGCCCCAAGAGAGGCCCAAGAGAGCCCCAATACTGTCCCAAGAGAGCCCGAGAGCGCTCCAAGATCGCCCCAAGAGGGGTCCAGGAGGGGATTCTTGGGACTCCCGAGGGGCAGGGCGAATTGCGACCATCCCCTTCTTTGATCGATGTCCTCCAAGATGGCCCCAAGAGCGCCTCGAAAGCTCCCAAAGGCGCTCCAAGGTCGCCTCATCACTTCAACTCCCCTGGGCAGCGTTTCTGGATGGGCTGGTGGGGATGCGCGAAGCGTCAACAATTTCTTGGAGGCTGCCTCTTCGGCTGCCTTGTTGGCTGCCTAGATGGTCTCCAATGTCCCCAACGCAGCCTCCGAAACGCTGAACAATGCTCCACGAGAGCCCCAAGACTGCCTCAAAGGCGTCCGAAATCCGCCACCGTGCCTGCACGGAGTGGGCGCGTTAGAATGCTCATCAGGTCCATTTTTGGGAAAGTTTCTATTTTTCTAGGGCCGCCCCCCCCCCTCCCCCTCGCGCGCACCCATCGCAGACTGGCCCCCCTGAAATTGCTCCCCGGCGTTCTTTTCAGCCTCCAGACGGCCACGATGGCCTCCAAGAGGGCCCTCTGGTTCTGGTTCCGGGTCTGGCTTTGGCTCTGGCTCTGGTTCTGGTTCTGGCTCTGGTTCTGGCTCTGGGGCCGGCTCGGCTCTGGCTCTGTCCATGGTTCTGGGTTTGGCTTTGGCTCTGGCTCTGGCTCTGGTTCTGGTTCTGGCTCTGGCTCTGGTTCTGGTTCTGGCTCTGGCTCTGGTTCTGGTTCTGGTTCTGGCTCTGGCTCTGGTTCTGGTTCTGGCTCTGGCTCTGGCTCTGGTTCTGTCTCTGGCTCTGGCTCTCGTTAAGGTTATGGTTATGGCTCTGGTTCCGGTTCTGCTTCTGGATCTGGCTTTGGTTGTGGTTCTGGTTCTGGCTATGGTTCTGGTTCGGGCTCTGGCTCTGCCTCTGGTTCTGGCTCTGGCTCTGGCTCTGGTTCTGGTTCTGGCTCTGGCTCTCGTTCTGGCTATGGTTCCTGTTCTGCTTCTGGATCTGGCTCTGGTTTCTGTTCTGGTTCTGGCTATGGTTCTCGTTCTGGCTTTGTTTCGGGCTCTGGGGCCGGCTCTGGTTCAGGCTCTAGTTTTGGCTCTGGGTCAGGTTCTGTTCTGGCTCCGGCTCGGGTTCTGACTCTGGTCATGATGGTGTTGGTTCTGGTTCTGGCTCTGGTTCTGGCTCTGCCTCTGGTTCTGGGTTTGGTTTTGGCTCTGGCTATGGTTCTTGTTCTGGCACTGGTTCTGGCTCTGGTGCCGCTTCTAGTTTTGGCTCTGGTTCCGGTTATGGCTTTGGCTCTGGCGTTGATTCTCGCTGTGGTTCTCGCTTTGGTTCGGGCTTTGGCTCTGGATCTGGTTCGGGCTCTGGCTCTGGTTCTGGTTCTGGCTTTGCTTCTGGCTCTGGTTCTGGGTCTGGCTTTGGTTCAGGCTCTGGTTCTGCTTCTGGTTCTGGCTCTGGGGCCGGCTCTGGCTCTGGTTTTGGCTATGGTTCTGGCTCTGGCTCTGCTTGTCTTTCTGGGGTTGGGTCTGGGTGTGGTTACGGCCACGGCCGAAGATTTTGGTCGATAATGGCCGGTTTTTGCACGCCTTCCTACCGCGAGGGGATTCCAAGAAGCCTCTGGCGCATTTCCCTTGCGATTTGTATTGCACGTGCCATCGATTTTGCGCCATTCTGCGCCGTTAGGCCCCTTGCGCGCCCCCGGGGGCCCAGAGCGCCGGAAAAAAGAAACATATTCGTCGTTAGCGCCGGTTTTTTGTTCGATTCCAGGACGAAGGGTGTCCGGAAACTTCGGATCATCTGTTTCCCCAGATGGCGTTCATACATTTTCCGCGTCGACAGAAGGCCTGGCGCGGGGTCGGCCGGGAAACGTTTTTTTAGCTATCGAAAGGCGGCCGGGGCTTCCAGAAGTTTCCGCCCCCGGGCACCTCATGGGCATCCCCGGGGAACCCCAGATACGCCCTCGCTGTTTCTGCTGCGTTCTCTGGCGGGGTGGGTGGGAACGGAGGGAGGAGGAGGGGGAAGGAAGGATGCCAATGCTTTTGGCCGCGGGCCGCGGAGACTGCCCCCCCCGCGCACGCCCGTGAAAGGCGCGGCGAAAACATAATAAACAATCACGTCGTGCATCAGCTGCACTTACCGCCTGCCCCTCGTGCTCATCACCCCCGACGGCCCCCGCCCCCTCCGCCTTTTCTCCACCCCCTCTTCCGTATCCGCCCCCTCCTGCGCATAATGATCCCCCTCATCCTGCCTTCCCGCTCCCGCCCTCGCCCACCTCGCCCACCTCTCCCGCCTACGCCTCCTCTTCTCCTCCATCCTCCTCCTCCCCCTCCTCCTCCTCCTCCTCCTCCTCCTCCTCCTCCTCCTCCTCCTCCTCCTCATCCTCCTCCTCATCTCCCTCCTCCTCCCCCGACGAGCGCCCCGCCTCCCGCAGCCACTCCGGCCGTCTCACGTGCGCGCGGGTCAGATCCCGAGCAACTTCTGACGCCGATGGCCCTGCCTCTGCTCCCTGCGCTTCGCCGCCGCCTGCAGAACAGCGTACCGGTCCTTCACCTCCTGCTCGCTCATGCCGACGCGCCCCGCCATGGCCGCTCCCTGCGCACCCCCTCCCCGGAGAAAGATTTTCGCCGCCTTCACGACGATTTCGTCATTCGTCTTCTGCTCGGCGAGCTCTGCAGGGGTGGGTTTCTGCCAGAACGACTCCTGCAAGTCGATGTGAAACCAGACGAGATGCCCGTTCTTCGGGGTCTTGCTCTGCCTTCATGCCGTCTCGTCGAGCCACGACCGCATCTCGGCGTTGAAGTCGGCCTCCTCCTGGGTCTCCTGGAGAGCGTCGCCTTGCACGGCGCAAACCATGGGCGCCACGCTAGGAAGGAGCGCGTTCGGGCAGAGCGAGGGCGGGCCCAGCGCCAGCCTGAACGCGCGCAACCTTCCGCGATGGTCACCTTTGGGTTTACGCAATGCGACCTGACACGTGGTCGTACGGGTCCCGCTTCTTCCCCCCCTTCTCGACGGCGTCCGTTTGGCCCTCGTTCTTCTCCATGTCTGCCGAGTCCTGCTGGGGGCCGCGGTCCTCTTGCTTGCGCCCCTGCTCCGCGTCCGTCTGTCGCTGCACCTCCTGCGCGTTCTGCTCCAGTTTCTGCTCGCGGCCGCGCTCCGTCTGGCCCAGCTCCCGGTCTCCGGCCGTTTGCCACCCCTGCTCTTCCGGTCGGTTCCCCGACATCTGCTCGCGGCCTCGCTCCTTTGCGTCGGGCTCCTTCTCCCAGTACTTCTGCCGCTTCCAGTCCGCGCCCTCCTCCCCCTGCCAGTCCCAGTGATTGCGCTTCTTCCAGGCTCCCTGCGTCTGCGCCGAGGACTGCCACTTCTGCCACCCCTGCGTCGGACAGCGCAGGCTCCGCGGCGAAAATGCGCATCCCAGGGGCACCTCCGGCATCGCGCAGAAAGAACTTTCTTAGACATTCACCCCCTGTCTCCCCCAAGCAGACCGCGGGGGGAACTGGCCGTGCTCTTCTCTTCTCTCCGCGCGCCGCCCGAGGTGCCCCGGAAAATGCGATCGCGCGCATTTGTCCGCGGGGCGCGCCGCCCGCCCACGCCTGGCCCCACTCGGCGCTCGACCGCGAGGTGTTCGACCACGCGGCGTTCCAGCCACCGCGCCACCAGCTGCCGCCCGAGCTGTCGCCCTTGCTGCGCTGGTCCTCCTGCGCGTTTTGCGCGGGCTCCCTGGGCCGCGTGGCGGTGGACTGCGGGGCCCATCCACCACCGCGCCACCAGCTGCCACTGTGGCCCTCCGGCGTCTCCTTCGGCGCGCCCTCGCCTCCCGGCGCACTATGGTCGTTGTCGCCCTTGGTGTCGGTCTTGCTCAGCTGGCACCCTGTCCCGCGCTCCGCGGGCCTGGTCTTCTCCGCGCTCGCCGGGGCCACGGCCGCGCGCGCGGTGGCGGCCAACTCCGGGCTCGCCTTGGCGAACCACGTCTCCTGGATCAGGGCGGGACGTTGTTCCAAGTTTGGGGATGTGCGTGGCCTGGGAATGGCAACGCTCGAGACTCCGATGTTGAATCTGGCTCTGTCTTTGGTGCTGGGGCTGGCGCGCATGCGCACAGAGGTGTATGTGCATGTGCCAATGGCCATCCGTACATGCGAGAACGAGTTTTGCATGCTCGTGGCGGTGGACAAAATATTGTTTGTGTTTGCTTCGGGTTGTGGCTATTGTAGATGGCGTGGTGGTGGTGGTGGTGTGTGCATGGTGGTGTATGCTGCTATAACTATGTTGATGCAGGTGGGCATCGTTCTGCTATGTATTTCGGCATGGTTCTTGGTGCACAATGAATATGGGTATTGTTGTGGGTGTGGGTTTTCCGACGGCCCCCGGTCCTGCGCAGCGGCTGGCAGGCCACGCAGCAACCTCACGACGGCTCGGCGTTTGGGCTCTGCGGGCAACACTCCGAGCAGCAGCGTGTTGCACAACGTGCAGATTGTAGCCGCTGTGAGCGTAGCTCCGCCGTCCTTGCCCCAGCGACAGCCGTCATGCTTGCACGCTCCCACCATGAACTTGGAGATGTCAGGCGGGCGCCTGGCAAACAGGCCTCGCCTCGACAGTTTGGGTTGCCTCGGACCACAACGGCCACGGTCAGTGAGCGCTGCTCTGGGCGCTGCATCGGACTCCCCCTCCTGCTCCTCCGTCCGTCCGTCCGTCCGTCCTCCTCCTCCTCCTCCTCCTCCTCCTCCTACGACGGCGCTGGAACCGTCAGAGTGCGATTCGTGATGGAAAGGCCGGCCCCGCGGAGAGGGTCGGGACTTCGGGGACTCTCTCTCTGTCTCTCTCTCTCTCTCTCTCTCTCTCTCTCTCTCTCTCTCTCTCTCTCTCTCTCTCTCTTCTTAGTACCACCAGCCCTTTAGGGCTACGGTGGTATAACGAGTTTGTTCTTCTCTCTTCCCCCTCCTTCCCCTGCTCGGGGGAGGGGTTTACCCCTCCCCCTACCCCCTCCCCTGGACCTGGAGGGGGGGGGCTGGAGGCGTTAGAGCGTCCAAGATGGCTCAAGATGGCTCCAAGAGGCGCTCCAAGTCGCAAAATGGCCTCCAAGATGGCCCAAGATACCTCAAGATGGGTCAAGATAGCCTCCGACATACCTCCAAGAGGCCTCAAGACAGCCCCAAGACGGATCCAAGTGCCCTTCGAGCCCTCCACGGCGCCCTCCAAGATGCCAAAACAATTAAAAAGCCTAGGGAAAACCAATGTGTTTGGCATTCTCGCCTTTTCGCTTCCGATGGGCTTTGGAAGCCTCAAGATGGCCCCAAGATGGCCCAAAAGAGCCCCAAGAGGGGCTCAAGAAGGCCCAAGACGGCTCCAAGATCGCCCAAGAGGCGCCCAAGAGCGCTCCAAGACGGCCCCAAGACGCCGTTTGAGAGCCTCCGAGGGGGCGATGCTAATTAAGGGACCTCCTCTTTTCGAGCCATGGGGCCCAAGATGACCCCAAGAGGCCTCCCAGCCTCTCCCAAAGACCCTCCACCCTGCCCTTTTTGGCCCAAGATGGCTCCAAGAGAGCCCAAGATGGCCTTCAAAATGGCCTAGGATAGCCAAGCATGGCTCAAGATAGCTTCCGACAGACCTCCAAGAGGCCTCAAGGCAGCCTCACTATGGCCCAACATAGCCGAGCATGGCTCAATATAGCCTCCGACAGTCTCTAGCCGAGCATGGCTCAAGATAGCCTCCAAGAGGCTTCAAGAAAACTGGCAATCAATTCTGGATGGGCTGGTGAGAATACGCGAAGCGTCAAGAATTTCTTTCTCTCTCTTTCTCTGCGTCCCTCTTTGTCTCAGTCGCCAAGAAACACAGAAACACAACGACGAAGAGCAGCGGGCAGCTGTTTTCCACCATTATGCGGGGAGGGTGCAGGGAGGAGGGAGGCAGGCAGGCAGCAAGGAGGGGGGAAGAGACAGCGGACTGGGGACCGAGGGCCAGGGACCAGGGACCAGGGACCGGGGACCGGGGACCGGGGACCGGGGACCGGGGACCGGGGACCGGGGACCGGGGACCGGGGACCGGGGACCGGGGACCGGGGACCGGGGACCGGGGACCGGGGACCGGGGACCGGGGACCGGGGACCGGGGACCGGGGACCGGGGACCGGGGACCGGGACCGGGGACCGGACCGGGGACCGGACTGAGGAATTCCCCCATTGTGGAATCCCTAACCCTTACCACTAACTCGAATCCAAACCCCGAAACCCTAATCCTAACCCCCAGCCCTTCCCGAACCCCTATCCTTATTTCTGATGATTCAACACCCCCAAACCCCCACCTAGCCAGCCGATAGCAGCCCCGCCGTCCAAACATGTCGTCGAGTTACGAAAACTGCAGCAACATTATGACGGAATGAACATCGCTTGGGTAACCCTAAGCGGGTGGTCGCGTCCTACCTACCAAAAAGCAATACCAAGTCAACGCGTTGTCTCGACATTATGGATTTTCTAGACGTCGACGCTGCGAAAAGTGTAACAGGAAAGTGACGGAATGAACATCGTTTGGGTAACCCTAAGCGGGTGGTCGCGTCCTGCCTATCCAAAAGACCATACAAAGTCCACGCTTTCTGTCGACAGCATGGACTTTCTTGTCGTCGACGCTGCGAAAAGCGCAGCAGGAATGGGACGCGGCGCACATCGCGCTCGGACGCCTGGCCAACCGTACGCGGGACCCCCCGTCCTACCTGCAGAAAACACCGCAACGTCGACGTTCTCCTTGCTAACATGTACTTTTTGCTCGTCGGCGCTGCGAGTCGCGTAGCGGGAATTGGACGCTCCGCGAAATCCCAAGAGGCAGTCTCCTCTTCCTCCTCAGTTTCTCCCTCCCTCCCTCTCTCCCTCCCCTCCTCCTCCTCCTCCTCCTCCTCCTCCTCCTCCTCCTCCTCCTCCTCCTCCATGCGCGGCAGGAGCGAAACGATTGGCGGTGCAACACGCGTGGCTGGAATGAGATGCGGCGCACTTCGCGCGCTGGACATGTTGTCGCCGACGATGCAACATGAGAGGCCGGAGCGGGGCGCGGCGTACATCGCGCGCGGTCTTATTTCTCATCGACGTTGCTCAATACGCGGCAGGAATAGGACGCAGCTCATGTCGCGCGCTGAACGTCTAGCCGCCCACGGTATAAGATGAGCGACAGGCGTCGGACGCGACGCACTTGCTTCTTATGTTGTGGGAGGGCGGGTGGGAGTGGATGGAGCCCTCTGGCTCGTTTGAGCTGGCTAACTTGACCCTAAGCCCTAACCTTAACCCTAACCCCTACCCTAACCCCTAACCCTGACCTGACCCCTAACTCCTAGCCCCACCCCTAACCCTGACCCTAATCCCTAACCCCAACCCTATACCCTAACCCCTTAACCCTACCCTAACCCCTAACCGCAACCCTAATCCCTAACCCCTAACCCTAACCCTAACCCCTAACCCCTTAACCCTAACCCTAATCCCTAAGCCCTACCCTAACCACTACGCTAACCCTAACCTCTACCCTAATCACCATCTTAACCCCAGCCTCCAGCGCTCCGGAGCGGAGAGAGCCTCCCCACCTGCCCCCCCCCCTTGCCTGGCCAAAGGGGGGGAGGGGAGGGGGTCCGAAATCGCCCGCCCCCCCGTCTCCAGTGCCAAGGGGGGGGAGGGGAGGTCGTGTGGACCCCCCCCCTTCAAAGGGCGGGTGGGGGGGAGAACCCCCCCCCCTTGAAGGGGGGGGGTCCGAAAATGTCCCCCCCCTTGAAGGGGGGGAGGGGGGGGGTTCTGGGAGCACCCCCCTCCCTTTCAATGACGAGGTGATCCACTGGCGCTCTTTCTGTGCCGCCCCCACTGATGCTCACCGCCCTGAAGCCAGCACGCTAGCAACGGCCCGAAGGCCGATGACATCTGCACCCAGCCCTACCTGGAGTGCACTCCTCGCCACAATGCTAGCCGAGCGCACGGACGGCCAGCCAGGCGCGACCTTGTGTGCGTGTGTGTTGCAAGCATCCCCGTAATGAAGGCTGCGAGAACAAAACGAGGAGAACTCAGACCTCCAACGTCTTGATGTGTAAAGTGTGCGGAGGAGGAGGAGGAGGAGGAGGAGGAGGAGGAGGAGGAGGAGAAGAAAGAGGTCCGCGTCGCACGCCCCGTAGAACCCGCCAATCTCGCTCTCGAACGCCAGGTACTTCCACTCGAAGGGCGACGCCACCCCTTGGGGCTCGTAGGACGAGCGGGCGGACACGAGCCTGACGTCCTTCGGCCGCCAAATGCCAAACCTATCCCTGCGCTTTCTCTTAGCTCGCCCTGGGAAGCCTGGGCAAGCTCCTGGGCGGACTTCCAAGCAAGCGAACGGGCGGAAATCGAAGGGCGGGCGGACCCTGACGGGCGGGCCGCACAGGCGGACGCTAACGGGCGGGTCGGGCGGGCGGACCCCCTCATGGGCGGGTCGTGAGGGCGGACCCCGACGAGCGGGACGTCTGGCAGAGGCTTCAGCAGACTTGGCGGCGCTTCAAGCTAGTGGGCCCAAAGGTGGCTAAGAAAGCACGGGGGCCTCTGAAAGGCCTCATGCCTGTGGAGAGGCCATCCCGGAAGCCTCCCGCAACGTGTAGGAAGCCCCCAGCGTCCTGGAAGTTCGCTCGCCTCGCCGTCCCGCCCCCCCCCCTCTCCCGCTCACCTGGCGCAAGACGCGCCGCCAACACACACTCAGTCGGCGCTGCGCGCACGTCCCCGAGACACCTGCGGAGGGCTGCGAGACTGGGCCCACTCTTTAGAAGCTGCCAGGGAAACGCTGGAGCGAAAACGAGTTGGAGGGGTTCGTGGTGACCAGCGAAACTGAAATTCAAGCACACGCGCACAAACACAAGCACATACACACACACACACACCGTCAGACAGCGTCACACAATCACACACACACACACACCCACATGCACTTTCCCACTATGGGCCGATGCGATGCAGGAGCGGTACTCCAAGCGACGGCGAAGGTGCAGCGTGGATACGCAAGCGGAGGGGGGAAACAAAGCACCACAGGAGAACAACGAGGCGCGTAAATGTAATGACCCTGGTTGGCCCAGAATCCCAGGTAGCGTGACGGAGTAGCCAGGGGAGGAGAGCCGAGGCCGGCCAGAGCCGAGGCCGCCAGGGGCGGCTGGAGCGTGATGTGCCGTGAAGCGAGACAACGGTCAGCGGAGCGTCGGCTGCGACCCAGCGTGTCCACAGGCGGCACGATGCAGAAGACACACAAGCAAGCACTCACTCACTCACTCACTCACTCACTCACTCACTCACTCACTCACCCACACATACCAAACAGCTGTCGGTCAGCAGATGCAGGCAATCATCGTAGGCATCGGAAGGGCCCCAAACAATGCAACAACACACACACTGCCTCTCTCTCTCTCTATGTATGTCCCTCTCTCTCATATACATATATATACACATACGTACCTACATGCATGCATACATACATACGTACGTAATACATACATCCAGACATACAAACAGACATCCATCCATCCATCCATCCATCCATCCATCCATACACACATACAGATAGATACCGCGCACATGCACGCACACTGTGTCGTCGGTAGGGTCGACCCGCGCGCGCGGGGCTGATCAAAATGCAGGAAGATGCTGGAAACTGAAAAAATGGCACCAAAACCAGCACAGGGTGTTGTTTCAAACGGGAGGAGATAATCGTAGATTTTGATGTTGGTGGCAATGTTTCGGCCACCTGCGAAACCCCACTTTCACCACCATCACCGAGATCGGTATCATCTTCCCTCGATCGGGGAACGCCGACGCCTGTGTCGGTGCCAACCTCTCGGCCTCCGAGGATGGAAACCGCGAAAAGAGAGGCTCGGCCAGGCCCCTCAATGGCAGCCGCGGCATCGCCGCCGCGCCACCTGGGACGGGCGCTCACGGGGGGCAACTGCGGGAACTGCCTCACCATCTGGGGAGGTTGGGAGACGCCGCCGGCGCAGCACAGGGCACGGGACGGCGGGGGCCAGAGGACGCCGGCATGGCGCAGGCGGAGCCCACCACGAAGCAGGGATGCCGAGGAAGGCTCAACGCATACCAGCGGCTGCGGCAGCGCAAGCGGAGAGGCGAAGGCCTCAGCGGAAGGAAGGGGGGCCCAAGGACGCAAGGTAGCGGGGCCACGACGATCATCGAACAAAAACTCCAAGCATGGACGAACGACCAAAGCCAAACACACTGTTTCCTCTGCCGACCAAACGGCGCCACAGCAGCGACTGATAGCAAGGGACGCGAGCTATCGCATGAAGTCCGCCAGGCGTTGCAGGTGGTGGGCTGCGCGAAGCGAGCTGGTGCGCAGGGAGTAGCACCCAACCTGGTGGGCAACACACTCCTCCTCCAGCGGCGAAGTGACGGTTCGGTCGCGAAGTGCTAAAGCAGGACAAGTAGGCAGCACACACACACACACACACACACACACACGCACGCACGCACGCACGCACACACACACACAAGCACACACACACACACACATATTTTAGCGTTGCGACCGCGCGCGCTGTGACGCAACGCAATTCGTCAGCATGGTGCCCGGAGCGTGCCGCCAGGGTGAGATTACACCTACACACACGCACACCCTCGGCGGCTGGGCGCCGCGCGGCGCTTCTGGTGGGCGGCCCCCCGACTACGACCGCGCATTGGGGGCAACTTTCCAATGGCGAGCGCTCGCTCGTGACTCGCCAGTCACTGCAGATGAGCTGCGGGGGTCGGGCGGCGAGCAGTCCATGCCACGAGCCGAGGGGCCGAGAAACCAGTGCAACACACTTTTCCCTCCAGCAGAGAGGTGACAATACTGTCGCGATGCGCTGAGCTGAGCCACAATTAGGCGAACTACCACCTAAGACAGACGCACTTTCACTCAGCGAGTGGTCCCAGTAGGAAAGCGACGCAGTGGCTACACGAGGGAGGCGAGCAGAGCCGGCCTCACGCACGTGCACATTTCCTCCAACGTCGCAGTTGGTCGCAATCGCGCTGTGGCTGTTGAAGGCCACGGTAGCAGTGAACTGCACCGATCACCTCGTGGCAGGGCGTACGCATGCTCGTGGTGGGCCAAGCAGGAAAGAAGCGAGAGAACACCGCGCCGAGGCGCGAGCGCCAGAGCAAAAGGAGGCTCGGGAGGAGAGGGGAAGCTGGATAGTTCGGCGAAAAGGCGCCGTGCAGTACGCACGCAAGCATGAACATCCATAATCGGGGCACGCAGGCCAGGGTGCATTCGAACTTGTGTCGAAGACGCACTCGAGCCGAAACCGAGGGACCCCAGGTTAGGGGGCAGGCTGGTCGAGCGGCACGGCCAGAGACGCACGAGCAGGGGACGCGCAGAGTGCCCAAACCCTGAAGCGGGTGCGAGACCCAGAAGGGCCGCGGAAAAGGAAGAAGACGAAAGGCACAACGGGGACGACGGAGCACCAACACGAGCACGCATACACACATCTTTCAGTCGCGGCGCGGCAGAGGCAATCCGCTCGCGCGCTCTGGTAGCTGGGGCAGAGCGTACTAACACGCATACGCACACACACACACACACGCACACACTTGTTGGCGTCGCGGCCACGCGCGCGACGGCGCGGCGTAGGTCAGGTCAAGCGGACGCGCGTGGGCAGGGCCAGCTCGCGAAGCATGAAGCTGGATCCACTCATAGAGCATCAACAGCAACACTCGCAAGGGGGCAGTACACACAACCACACATATGGACACGCAATCACACACACCCACGCACACACACACGCACACACACACACACACACACACACACGCACACACACGCACACACACACACACACTCTCTCACACACACACGCACGCACACACACGCACACACGCGCGCACACGCACACACACGCACACACACACGCACACACACACACGCACACACACACACACTCACTCACGACGCACACACACACACACTTGGCGATGCGGCTACGCGCGCGGCGGCGCGGCTTAGTGAAGTCTGATACTTACACCTATCAATGCGCACACAAGCACAAACACAAACGCGCACACCCCCACACACACACGCACACACACACACACAGACACGCACACACACACACACTTGCGCGCGCACACACTCAACACACAGACACCGGCACCCACACACACACACAAACACACACACACACACACACGCGCGCACGCACACGCACTCACACATGCGTCGCGGCCACGCGCGGAGCAGCACGGAGCGGCAGAGTCAGGCAAATTGCGGAGAGAGGAGTCGGGCGCGCGCGGCGGGCCCAGCTCAGCGGTGGCAGGGCTTGTAGGGTTCACCCATAGCGAACATCGCTGCACGACTCGCGTGGAGGCAGCGGCGAGGCGGGACGAAAGGGGGTCGACGTGGGCACTGGGAGGGAGCGAGCAGGAACTAGGAACAGGGCGGAGATGTGCAGCACACACGTACACACACACACACACACACACACACTCACACTCCCAACCGAGCACGCGCAGAAGCTCAGAGTTCTAAGGACGTCCGCGAAAAAGGCGAACCGCCGCAGGGGGAAGTCGGAGGCCCTGGAGTCGTGTGGGCCCGCGGGCATGAGGCTCAATCCCTGAGGGCTTGACGACTTTTCTCCAATCGACTTGCGGGGATCAAACCAGATGATGAGGTGAGTCCAGATAAAGCTAGGAAAGTCAAGATGAACCTGGGTAAATCCAGAGATCTCCAGGGAAATCGTGCGCAAATCGTGGGCGGCACTGCGCGAGTCGAGGGACAGCAGAAGTCATTGAGCCCTTCACGACTCAAACCATGTGAGGCCGCCGTGTCCTCCAGCTCGGGCCAGAGCGAGGGCATGAACTTCTGGCAGCTGAGCTCGAGCCACCCGGACTCGGCGTTGGTCACGAAGATCACCTGGCCGTAGCGCTTGGCCAGGCTCAGCGTGTGCGCCGCACGCTCCGCAAGCCTGTCGAGCTGCGCCTGCTGCTCCTCAGTGGGCCAGCTGTCGTCGTCGAGCGTGAGGCCCTGCTGGCCGATCCACGAGGAGGGCATCACCGTGTCGTCCCAGTCGAAGATCAGGATCGTATCCTCCGGAGGCACCGGGCAGAAGTCGTCGTCGCAGCTGTCCTCGCTGCACTCGGAGACCGACTCGCTGTCGATCTCGGTGGACGGGTCGGACGCTGCGTCCTCCAGAGCCTCCTCGGCTAAGGAAGAGCAGACACCTGCTCAGCGAAGACACGTGGGGATCTCAGGCAAGATCCTACGTGATGGCTTACGCAGGCTACAGACGAGGCACACCGCGTGGGGAAATGCTCGCCCACGCCCGATTTGATGGAGTAACAAAAAGATACCGATACCGTTACCCCCCGGGCCTCACCCAGGGCGCGTTCTGACCAGGACTGCGAGGCAAATCCAGCCGTGGCGACAAGGAACGCATAGCGGCATATTCCTCCTCTGACCTTACGCGGGCACTTCACGTGCAAATGCCTGCGCGGTGGAACCCCCTTTTCATATGTCGCGCACCGGAGGCTTGGATTTCCGCGATCGACTCGCGCGTCATCTTCTGGACCTCCGCGTTCGTGGCGACCTGATTAATAGTAGTTGCAGCCATGGCTGGGGCGAATTGCGATGAGTAGGTGAAGTTAAGAAGCTCCTGCGTCCGTCGGCTGTCTGATTCGGGATCTGTATGTATGTACAGTACCTTCTGAGCGGAGCAGGCACGGGCAAATGTACGTGACAAAACTTGGGCCAAAATGGCTGTGGGACAGAATCCTCCCCCTTGTCCTCCTGCTCATCATCCTCCCTCCACTTCTCCCCGTTGTCGCCGTCTTCCTCCGAGCCATCATACTTAGCCACCTTCGCTTCCGCCTCCTCCTCCTCCTTCCCCTCCACCTCCTCACCACCACCACCACAATAATCATCATAAGCATTAACAGCATCAGCATCATCAACATCATCATCATCATCATCATCATCATCATCATCATCAGCAGCAGCAGCAGCAGCAGCATCAGCATCATCATCAGCAGCAGCAGCATCAACATCTTCATCATCAGCATCAGCTTCATCATCATCAGCAGCATCGTCATCATCATCAGCACCGTCATCCGTATCAATATCAGCATCATCAGCATCATCCTCAGCAGCATCAGCATCAGCATCATCAGCGGCAACAGCATCATCAGCAGCAGCAGCAGTATCATCATTCCTTCACCCACCTCGTCCTTCTCTGCAACTCTGGGACTCGAAAGCGGAAAGTCCAGCTAGGGACATACCACAAAGGAAATGCGTTGCTGTCTCTTCTTCTTCCTCCTCCTCCTCCTCCTCCTCCTCCCCTGTCCTCCCACTCCTCCAGTGTCCATCTCCTCGTTTCTCCTCCTCCTCCTCCTCCTCCTCCTCCTCCTCCTCCTCCTCCTCCTCTCCCTCCTCAGTCTTCCTCTTCAGTCCTTATCCTCCTCCCGCTTCCACCTCGTCCCTCACCCCTGACGCGCTGCCTCCCTGCCCTCTTCCAATGCACTCCTCACTCCTGTATTCTCTCCTTTCCTCCACCTCCCCCTCCTCCTCCACCACCTCCTGCACCGCCTCCCCAAAAATGATTGCAGCAGGGTGCCATTGCCCTGGCTGCTGGGCCCAGCGCGCAACGCTGGTGAAACCGTCGTCATCATCATCATCAGCATCAGCATCATCATCATCATCAGCATCATCATCATCATCATCATCATCATCATCATCATCACCACCACCACCATCATCAGCAGCAGCAGCATAATCAGCAGCAGCAGCAGCAGCAGCGGTGACATCCTCATCCTCATCATCATCATAATCATCATCCTCGTCATCGTAGCACCACGACCACCGCCAGCAACAGCAGCATGATCGCCATCATCCTCATCACCGATCCAAGCACTAGAAAAAGAAGCAAACATCAAATTTCGAGGCTCCGCGTGAATGCCTTGGAGCGGCGCTGGGCCCCCCTCCTGGGTGCGCGGAGCGCACCAGGGGCGTCCCTGGAGGCGACGCCACGTGGGACCAGCGCCGATCCAAGAAATCCGAGCGGAGCTCCGAAAGTGCACGGGCGGGAACTTTTGCTTTGCGCGTCGCGGCGGCGGCGTCAGCGACACGCTGTGCCCTGCAAGCGGATAGCGTGTCGCTCCGATCCGCGGGGCGGGAGGCTCGACAAAGCTCGGCACGTTGACGCTCGAGGGCTGGGACGTGGACAGCGTGTCGCGCCAGAGCGTGGTAGGCCAGAACCGTCGGCGCGACACGCTAACCAAAAGTTGAAGACCGCATGCGAGTTCAAAGTGGTAGTGCCAGTGCAAGTTTCCAAAGGAAATGCACCCAATGACTAAAACAAGTGAAAACGTAAACATAAGCTTTCGGCGCTCTGCGCGGATGCCTTGGATCGGCGCTGTGCCCACTCTCCCTGGCGCGCGGAGCGCACCAGGTGCATCGCCGGAGGCGCCGCCAGGGGGGCCCCCAGCGCCGATCCAAGAAATCCGCACAGACCTCCGAAAGTTTATGCTTACGTCGTTCTTTCAGTGGGAGGAAGGGGAGATGTGACATCCCAGCCACACAGTGTGGCCAATGCGATTCTTTGAACTTGGCTCCGATTACGCGCCGTACGCCATTCATTTAAGCTCCGATTGCGCGCCGTTTCGGCAGGGGGAGGGCTCCGCGCGCGGCCGCAGACCACCCGCGCTCCCCCACGAGCCTGGGCCTCACCAGGGCGGCCACCCCCGGGCTGTCCCGCAGCGACGCCCTCGGGCGCGGCGACGGCGTCTCCCGGAACAGGCCGCCTGGCGAGGGCGGCATCAGTCTAGAGGATCAACATGCAGCCGAAAGCATGATCAAGAGAGTTACCGTTTAAGACATCTGGGCCAGCTCCCCAGAGGCGTCTATAAAGCAAGCCTGAGCAATATTTCGTGTCAACGCTGGAGGATGTTTGTTCATCATATGCTCGACCCTGAACGAAAACGGCATACAATTGCATCAGCCTACGCTTTCGAGGCTCCGCGCGGATCACTTGGATCTTCAACAGCCAGCAGCGGATCGGGAAATCCGATCGAATCGGCACGTGCGTCGAATCGGGCCGCACAGGCACCAAAATCGAAATCGAAGCGGATCGGCTGCGGCAAGATGCACAAGAGCGCCGTGCAAGCATGGGGCCTCATGGGATCGCCAGAAAATCTAAATCGGATCGGATCGAGCCGTTCAGAATCGATCGGATCGGAGTGGAGTGGGGCGGCCCAGAGGGAGAGGGGCGTTAAGGTTCGGCCCAGAGGGAGGGGGGCCCGAGGACGAGTGGCCTCAAAGAGTAAAAGTTCAGCTTGGCATCCCTCCCCCGAACCCTCGGGGCGGCAGCTCTGAACCGCCGAGGGGCCGGGGGGAAAGCCGCAGCGAGTCGGCCCTCGTCGAGCGCGTCCCGCGTGTCCGACACGACGCTGGAGAGCCCTGCTCCTCCCTTCCTCCCCTTGCTCCTCCTCCTCCTCCTCCTCCTCCTCTTCTTCCTCCTCCTCCGTATCTTCCCTCGACACGCATCATCATCATCATCATCATCATCATCATCATCATCATCATCATCATCATCATCAGCAGCAGCAGCATCATCATCATCATAATCAGCATCATCATCATCATCATCATCATCATCATCATCATCATCATCATCATCATCGCCATCGTCATCGTCATCGTCATCGTCATCGTCATCATCATCATCATCATCATCATCATCATCATCATCATCATCATCATCATCATCATCATCATCATCATCATCATCATCATCATCATCATCATCATCATCATCATCATCATCATCATCATCATCAATCATCATCATCATCCATCATCGGCAGCATCATCACCACCACCACGACCGCCATCATCAAAATCCGCCGACCCCTTGTGGGTCTCTAGGCGTGTGAGATAGTTCCCCCCCCTATAGTCCCCCCCCCGGGACCCCAAACCGGCGATTTGACCCCCCCCCCCCGGGCCCGGGACGAGCGCGGGCCCGGGGACGAGCGCCCCCCCCGGGCCCGGGACGAGCGCCGCCGGGGCTTTTCCGGGCCCCAGGAAGCCTCAAGACGGGCCAAGATGGCCCCAAGAGGCCTTCAAGACGGCCCACGGGAGCCCCGAGACGCCAAACGAGCGCTCCCAGACGCCCAAGATGGCTCAAAGACGGGCTAAGAGGCCTCCAAGACGGCCCAAGAGGTCCCCAAGAGGCCCCAAGAGGCCTCCAAGATGCGTCCCACGAGGGTCCCTAGACGCAAAAATTTGCCCATTCCCTTCGTAAAACGTACATGTTTCACGAATTCGCTTTTTGGGCTTTCGGACGCTCCCAGACGGCCCAAAAGGCCCTAAATACCGCCCCAAGACGGTCCAAGCAGCCTCCAGGGAAGCTCCAAGGCAGCCCAAGAGAGCCCCAAGACAGCCCAAGAGGCGCCCAAGATTGCCCAAGAGGGCCCCGAAGACGGCCCCAAGAGCGCTCCAGGAGCGCTTCAAGTGGCCTCCAAGAGAGCTCAATATGGTCACAGACGGTCGAAGAGCGATCAAAGACACCGACGATCGCCTCCAGACGGCCCAAGACGGCCCCAAGAGGCCCCAAGAGGCCTCCAAGATGCGTCCCAGGAGGGCCCCAAGAGGCCGCCAGAGGCCCCCAAGAGGCCGCCAAGACGCCCCAAGGAGCCCCCAAGAGCCCCCCAGGAGGCCTCCAAAAGACCCCCAGACGCTTCCGCATTGCGAGCCGTCAAGCCAACTGCAATGCACTCCGCGCATGCAGCCTTGCTCTTCCTCGCGACGTGCTCACAATCTTGCTCGGCGCGAATGTGCTGCTGCTACGCGAACTGTTTCGTGCGCGCTGCGAACGTCAACAGCCTCTTCACCCGTTTCGACTCATCTGCCACATCTTTCGCGGTGATGCTTCGCTGATCACAGCAAACATTTGGACCCCCTACGTATCTGCCACCACCCGCGCGCGACACCGCACCCTCACACAAGACGCCGCTGGCCAGAAACTCCTGGTCTCGCAACAGTCACAGAAGGGGTCGGCGGATGTGGCGTAAGCCTGTAGAATCATCAACATCACCATCAGCATCATCATCCTCATCAGCAGCATCAGTATCATCACCATCAGCATCACCACTACCAACATCATCATCAACACCACCATCATCATCAATTAGTCTCATCAGCATCAGCATCATCATCAGCAGCATCATCATTATCACCGCCACCATCATCATCACCATCATCATCATCAATATCATCATCGTGGTCGTCAAAATCGCCATCGTCATCGTTATCCTTCATACTGCCCCCATTACTTCACTATGTCTCTTCCCCCGTTTTAATCGTCGCTCTTCCACTGCCGTCATCGTAATCGTCATCGTCGGACGTTTCATCATCGTCGTGGTAAGTCCCGAAAATCCTTCGTCGTCGTCGCCGTCGTCGTCGTCGTCCACGTCGCCGGCGCCGCCGAAATATCGACCACCGCCAGGCTCACTGGGGACTCCGAAGGGGTGCGCCTCCCTTCTCTGCGTCACCGTTCCCGCTCGCCCGGGCCCTTGCAGAGTTCAAGCCCTCCGACATCTTCGTCGTCGACAATATCTAAATCAGGGTCGTCGTACTTGTCGTCGTCGTTGTACTTGTCGTCGTCGTAGGCGTCGTCGGCGTCGTTGTCAGCGTCGGCGTCGGCGTCGTCATTATCGTCATCGTCGTCGTCGTCGTCGTCGTCGCTGGCGCCGCCGTCGACGTTTCCAATCCGATCCTACGCCCCAGTCCCCCTCTTCCCACCTCCTCCCCTCCTCCTCCCTCACCTCGAGGAGGGGGAGGAGGAAGGGCGGAAGGAAGGGCTTCGAGGGGAAGAAGGGGGAGGGAGGAGAGGGAGGGGGAGACGGAGGGGGAGGAGAGGAAAGAAGGAAGCTCGAAGGGGAAGAGAGGGAGGGAAGGGAGTGAAGATCCCCTCTCCCGCCCCCCACCGCCCCCCCCCTCCCTTATCCTCATCCCCCGTCTCCCCCTCCAGACCCCGATGCAATGCCTGGGGGTACAAAAAGGTACTGGTCACCGCTGCTCCCCGCGCCTCCCCATGGGGTGCGCTCCGACCAGAATCGCGAGGAGAACCCAGCCGTGGCGACGAGAGGCCTCAAGGACGAACAGCGGTATCCGTACCTCTTCCTCCTCGGACGGCCCCACGTCGAGACCCCGACGCCTCCAGCCCTTCGCCCCCGACGGGGCCCGCCAGCGGGCCCCGGCAGCGGCCAAGGCGCGCGCGCACGGGCGCCCCGCCTGGGCCGAGCGAGGTGGCGATCGTGCGGCGCCCAGGCGCCGACTGGCAGCGGGTTGGCGCTGCCTCGCGAGGAGGGAGGAGGGCAGGAGGGCAGGAGGGGGGAGGGAGGAGGGGGGAGGGAGGAGGGAGCGAGGAAGAGAGGCGTAGGAGGGGAGGGAGGAGGGCAGGGAGGGAGGAGAGGGGAGGAGACGAGAGGAGGAGAAGGAGGAGGACGAGGAGGAGGAGGAAGAGGACGAGGAGGAGGAAGAGGAGGAGGGAGGAGGGAGGAGGGAGGTGGGAAGAGGGATAAGGGAGGAGGAAGGGAGGAGGGACCAAGCGCTACATCAAGTGCTCAAGCGCTGAGCATTTACACTAGCGTGCCGGGAGGACGGACCAAGACGCAAACCAACGAACGCTGGACGCGCAGAGTGTCCAGAGTTGGGTCAGGCTCAAGGTCAAGGTATCCTCAAGTGTTGGGGCAAGAGGAGAAGAACGAATCGCGTCTCAAATGCAACTGCCTCCAGCGGTTGAGCGACGACTGCTGTAACGTGTCGTGCTGCACATAGCCTGGCTGCCCCTGCAGGCCTCTCCCGGGACAACTTGGGAGAGGGAATAACGAGCATCGAAAAGAAATTCAGCGCCAGGCCAGATCGAGCATAGGCCAAAGAACCAGAGTGTTTGCGGAGCACAAGAGAACCTTACACCTGCACTCCGCCAACGACACCCACAAATTCAAGTCGGGCCTTCAAACAAAGCACCCTGGAGATGCTCCCCACGAGGAGTTCGATGGCGGCCCGCACAGCTTCGACAAGTTGCTGGAGGCGGGTTGGGGTCGGCGAAGCCTGGGGCCTCGCCATCCACCTCTGGTCCACTTGCAATGCCGAAGTCGTCTCGAGCGTGTCAGAGCCTGCGCAGGCGACCCGAAATTCGGGGGTGTATCTTGGGGCCGAGGTGACGCCAGAGGCCACAATAGATTACAATCTCCACACGTCCCTCGCCAAGTGCTTGTCTCGAGCGGCAGGATACGCGCGATGGGGGGCAGAGCTAACTTCTCGGTTTTCATGCACGGGCGGACCTAGGAAATGATAAGATCCTTCAAAAACATGAGACCCTCCGCCGTCTAAACCGAAGGGCACTCGAGGGCACCCTCCCAACAGACACGAAGAAAATGAGTGCACCCTCCCCGCACCGACCTTGATCTGATGCCTCGGTCCGACCGTGCCGTCCCCTCCATGTCTCACTTGTCACATTTCCCCCCCCCTCTCGTGGGACGTGACCCGCACTGAGCTCGATACCATCACAGGCTCCTTCGGCTCCCAGGTTCGCCCTGGCGGCGGCAGGATTGGACGGCCCTCCAGAGGCCAAGAGGACAACGGAAAACACCGGCCGCCACGACTTCTGCTACGCCGCCCAGGCCTGAGGGCCTGCTTCTCCTCTGAGATCCGGCTACACGCAAGAGTGACCCCAGGCAAGAGTGATCTTTGGTGCGCGGCTTCATGGGGGACGCGGGGTGGCCTCACCTGGGCGCGCAAGCCGCTGCCGCCACTTCGCGTTTAGCCATCTGGGCGCCCATCTGTGGCCGCACCAAAAGGCGATTCCGGCGAAAGACCACTCATGCGTCTGATCGAGAGATGCGCGAAGGCTCATTTTTCCGGCCCCGAGCGGGAGCAGCACCGGAGCACGGGAGCGCGAGCGGCTCGCAGCCTCGGCCCGAGCCCCGGGCTCGGCGGCGCGCAGGCCAGGCGCCGCAGGGGAGAAGGCATGAGAAGGCCGGGCGCGCGCGGCTTGGCCGGCGGGCGCGGCAGGGGCAGAGAGAGACTGCAGAGGCGCAGCTCGTGGTGCCCCTGGGGGTGCCCTCTGGGAGGAACGAGAAGTACGCATGCGAACTGCACCTGGCCTGGACCATCCTGGGCCCAGGATCGATGAAGCCATCCTGGCTCGGCCAGGGAGATACGTGCACTGATCCTGGGCCCAGGATGGGCATGGCCAGAGTCGATGTATGTGCGTAGTCCTCGTTGCCCGATCCCCAGGAGCAGCGTGCGCGGCAAGGATCTACACATATCCACCGCTCCGGGAAACGACCTCTCGGCACCCCAGGAGGCTGTGGACTTGGCCACCTTTGGGCACCACTTGGGTCCGATTATGACCATACCCACTGCTTCTCGAGATCATTGGAGGTCCGTTCCCCAAATGGCGGATATCTAAAAAACGCGTCCTCGGACAGCCTCATCTACAATGTTATACGCGCAGCCCAGCGCCCAGTGGCGACCGAAGCCCAGAGAACATCCGAGGGGTCGCAGGACTCCTGCGAGGGCAACATAACACGGACCAGGCCAAGGGACACGCAGTGCAAAAAGTCAAGGGGCTGGGAGTACTTCAGGGCGACCTTGATCTTGCACGGGCGACCTACTCATCGGTCGGATCAGTAGCGATGAGAGTACGCTCTCAACAATAGCTACGATGATTCGGGCGATTTCCACCAGGGAACTGCTGCAAATGGTTTTTAAATCAGTCGCGTGGGGCTTTACCATTTCATGACTGCTTAAGCAAGACTGCACAATATGCGATCCCGTCGCTGAACGTGATGTGGATGCCCACTAGCTTCATATGCCATGAGTGTGTTACTATGCCCGTAACACATGTCATGTCTACACGCTCTGCTTATTACGCATGTAATTGGTGTATGTGGCCGGCGCATGCCATGTCCATATTGATGTTATTGACGTGGATTCCTGGTGCCTGTTGTGAATCCATGACTCAACATGGGCCAGTATGCTGTCTGTTCGTGATGGCTTGTACTGGTGTGAAACATTACGAGCGTGCTTGGTTGACGTGCGTCCCTGGGATGTGTTATTGGTGACTGTTCCTGGCGTATGTCGGTGCTGTATGTAATGGACGT